ATGCGCGAAGACAGACGCGAGGGAGTGAGCGTGGGCGATGGAGGGGAGAATGTTTCTCGTGACGGGAGGGATGAAGCTGAGCGACGCAGGGGAATATGTTTACGTGGCGGGAGGGATGAGCGTAGGCGACGGACGGGAGAAACCCTAATGCGACGGGAGGGGCACGAGTGCGACACGTCGGGCAAATATTGCGATGGAGACTACAGTAGTTGGACAAAAAATCCAGATCTAAGCGGTAGTGCAGCCTAAAAGTTGAAGAAACTGGAATATATATTGCACTTTCTGCATCAGCAAGCAGTGCAGTGAGTCAGCGGGTAGAAAAAAAAATAAACCATCATCGGAAGGCATGCCATCCGAGGAAGCCTCAACCCCAAAAATTTAGGGTTCAGGCTCCCAAATGGCATGTAGTAGTGAAACGGTAGCGCTACCGAGTGAAATGTATTGGTCTATTTCTGTCGACCTGAATTACATTTTGCCAGACTCGTTGCTACAGACCCAAATGACCCTTCCCTGTGTTGCCTGCGACTTCCTCACATTTACCAGTTGGACACCTGGTAACCACCCAGGTTCAGGAGGAAAAGTGTAATTCAGGCTTCGAGTTTTAAACAGTGAATGGCCGGCTGTTTTGTTTTATTATGTTTTCGCTGTTATACCGTTCGGCCGGCAATGTCAAACGTTGGGTTTTGGTTTTACTGTGACAGGTTTGGAATGCTCTGCTCCGAACTAACTTCTCCCAAACCTGTTCCGTTAGTGGCACTGTGATCGATTAGGGCCCCTTCGATAGCGAACGGAACAGACGGGAACGGGAATGGGTAGGGGTGGTTCAGTGCACCACATACTGAACCTAAGAGGCGTGTAACATTGTTGTGACCGAGGCCAAATAGAGACCATTTGGTCGCTGTAGCCGACATGCGAGGGTTGTGGTAACAAACACCTGGGGCGTTTGTTGTAAATTCACAAGGGAAACTACATCCCAGATCCTTCGTTTCAGATTTTTCGCATATTTAACCCCAGGTTTACTCAAAAAGTACTGCTTTGGGCCATTTCGCTCACGCGAGGCCCAAAGTATGTTCAAAACAGGTCCTGCTGGGCGAACTTTGCGCCACGTGTCCTCTTGCTTTACCATCTGACGCACTTCCACTCTGAGGAAACCGTTTCTGGCCTTTTCTGCCCACCCACTGCTTCTTCTGGTGGGCTCGAGATTGAGAGCTGGCACTGCTATAGATTCGCCTTGCTGGCAATCTTACTGTGCTGGAACTGTTTGTCGAGGCTACCCATACCCTGCATGCGAATATAAACACGCCCCAGTCCAACCCAAGCCATTAACCCCGCCTGCTTCACCCTTCCCACTCACTCACGAGCGTCAATCCCTTAGCTTACTGATCGGGATCCAAAGTTAGGGTTTCCCATTACGACATCTACACATGCCGATTAGTGGCATCTAATTTTAGTTGATATCCAATGTTGCGATGGATAGGAATCTAAGCAAGGCGGCGGTGCATTCGAAGATCGACATTGGGGGCGCAATCCTCCACATGCTCAACGTTTTCATACCATAGACTCTGCAAAACTTGTGACTTGCAAGCACATGCATGCATTCATTTGCTGCCATTAGGGCCGTAGGCCCAGCGCTCATGCTGCCAGGGTCCGGCGCGCTAATGGCCGTGACGCCTTAGGAGCGAGAGACTCATAGGGCCAGCGCTGTAGCGCCAATGCGCGTCGCACCAGGGACCTTGGCGCAAATGCCCTTGGCGCCACTACGACTGGCGCCAATGCACCTGGCGCCAATGCGTGTGGCGCCAATGCGCCTGGCGCCAATGCGCTCGGCGCAAATGCGCTCGGCGCAAATGCGCATTGGCGCCGATGCGCCTAGCGCAAATGCGCCTGGCGTCAATGCGCTCGGCGCCAATGCGTGTGGCGCCAATGCGCCTGGCGCAAATGCCTCTGGCGCTACTGCGCCTGGCGCAAATGAGCATTGGCGCCGATGCGCCTGGCGCCAATGCGCTCGGCGCCAATGCGCCGGGCGCTAATGCTCATTGGGGCCGAAGCGACTGGCGCCGATGCGTCATAACCTAGATCCTTGCCCCCCCAATCGACCTAGGGCTTAGTCCCCCTGTCCATCCATCACAGCTTGCTGTTGGCCAGCATGACCATCTATACGACTCGACTCTGGCGTGCATCCCTCCCCACTCATTTCACTACCTACCATGCCCTGCCTTCAATCTCTCCCCGCCATTCCCTCAGTTGGTTATTAAATAGGTTCACCATTTCAATGCCACAAGTCCCGCACATCATCAGTCTCTCCAAACCGAGCGGTCATGTTGCTTTTCAGCTGTGGCTCTAGACCTCGAGTCCGAAATGTTTCAAGCGGTTTCTTTAAAGTAATGACACCTTTGTACTTCGTGAGGTTCAGTAGCTAAGCAGCTAGTTGCTTGACATTTGAAGTTACGGCTTGCACTCTCTTGTAATATGACTGCCACTCACCTCCCTTACCTTATGTAATTTAACCTCAAATTGCACCGTGTTTTCCAACGCTGGACTTACAGTATCACGCTCCCATCTCAAGCTGCTCTCGCTTGGTTGTTTTATGGCCCACCACCCACCATTATCCTTGCTACCTCCATTTGACTCGCTAACGCTCTCTTCCCTCTCATATTGCGTCCCGTCCCACTATTCCTCACGTTTGCCCCTGTTGAGTGATTCTCAGCAACGGTTTATTTGTGCAGGAGCTTACAGAATCTGATTTTGCTGTGGGGACGGTCTTCCAATCCGTAGAAGCAGCTCGAGAAGCAATCAAAAGTAACGCGCGCCAGAAGAAACAGGGGCATATATTGGGCGCACAATGACACTGAACGGCTTGATGCACGTTGTCCGTCCATGGAAGGACGACCCTGGCCAGAGAAAGGAGCCGAGCATCCCCCTGACGGATGTCCGTTTTGCATATTTGCAAGGGGTCCCCGTGGTTACCGAGTCAGAGAGGTTTGCCTGCAGCATCTCATAAGGTGCACCGTTAACAAAGGAAGGGTGCGAAGAACTGAGGTAAAAGAGATTGCTCGAGCCTACATGCCATACGGGGATCTTAGGCCACATGGGCTTCGTAACCTCGTGCAAGAGCACCTTGGAACAAGCTGCTCATACAATACATCCAACACATCTATTCATGAGGTCAATGGAGAGGATCGCCTAGCCGGCGATGGTGGTTTCCAGTACATTCACAGCATATTACGAGTTTTCAATAAAGAGAATCCGGCGAGTGTAGTGTCCATGGTGAGGAGAGGCAAGATGTTTTGGAGGGCAGGCATGACATTTCCGGGAGCTAGAGCAGCAACCCTAAATTGTTTCCCCATTGTTTTTGTCGATGGTTGTCACAACAAGGGAAGATGGGGGGGGGTGCACACTCAATGCTGTTCTTGTAGATTGTGAGCACAAGCTGGTGCGAATGGGGAGCGCATGGGTGGAGGGTGAGAATGGGGATGCATGTGGTTACTTTTTGCAGCTACTGCTCAAAGCTGTCCCTGAACTGAATTCTCCAAACTTTACACTCATGCATGACTGCGGGAAGGATTGGTCGGCAGCCAGGCTACAAGTGATGCCTCTCATTCGTGAATCATTCCGCATCACTCATATCACCCGGAATTTTAACTTGAAGTTTGGCTCTACCGTGGATGGCAAGATTGAGCTGGCTGCACTTGCCTTAACACCGGACGTTTACAGGTGGATGATGGACAAGGTAGAGATATAGTGTCCGAGGGGGAAGGAGTATTTAGAGAGGGATGGTTTATCTCAAAAGTGGGCTGCATCATCCTTCGGGGCACCACGCTTTGGAAATTACTCCTCTAATCCTGTAGAGTCACACCATGCGACGATGCGTACTGTACGGAGGCAAAATCTTGCTCAGGTTCTACTATCATTTATCCAGAAGGAAGCCACTGCATTGTGTGAGATGGATAAGACGTATGGACGCTTGAATGATGCCGAGTTCTTTGCAAAAAACCGCTGCCATCCTTACTGAAAACCAAGAAAAGGGGACGTCATACAGGGCGGAGCAGACAGGGCCCTTTGACCCATCGAACGGTCACCGCTTTTCGTACAAGGTGACGAGGCGAGGCGGAAACGAGCAAAGGCGGGTGCTCATCGATCTTCGAGAACACAAGAAATCAACGTGCTCGTGCAACTACACACGCTAAGTGCATGAACCGCTAAACCCATGCATATCTGCGCCACCTGTAATTGTTGGCTTCTACTCGACCACATTAACACCTATTATTGTCGTTTTCTCCCTCTCCCTTGCACCATCTTGCAGCGAGTATGGATTGCCTTGTGTCCACCTGTTTGCTGCTTTTAGTCTCCATGGTACAGGTTCTGGTGCCATGGAGGTGGTGGATCGGATTTACACCCCTTCAGCTCTACGGGAAGTCTACTGCAAGGCATTTGAGAGTTTGGACCCAACAGAGTTCGTTCCGGATGGCGAGACAATGGTGCCATCTTACCCAAAGAGGCCTGGGAGGCCACGTGAAAAAGGCTGAGGTCCCATGGTGAAGTAGATGGGAGGAAACCGCAGAAGTGTGGAAAGTGTGATGAGAAAGGGCATAATCGGTTGACTTGTGATTTGCGGGCACAACGCAACGCCATATGGGAGGCAATGAGATCGCCGCAAGGCCATATGAACGTGCAAGCAGCCACCCATGCAGAAGCATCTGTGAGTCTTTCCCCGTGCAGCGCGTGCGGTAATATGCATCGTAGAGGAGTCTTTTGCGCACCCCTGAGGCAACAACGAGAGCAAGATGGACAAGACCAGCAAGATACCAATGGAGAGAGCGACACATTTTCAAATGGTGAGGAGGATAGTGAGGATGAGGATGGGTTTGAGGGGGAGAACACAGAGGGTGACGAGCAGAATGCTTCATTGGAGAACGACGTCGACAACAACTTGAATCAGCCCATGGTGGAGGTATTTGACAATACATACCCTCACATCCCTCATAGTGGTGTTGATGTCAATGAGGCGATGGCAAGGACATCTGCTGAAAGGAGGTTGGAGGGTGGAGCTGAGGAAGAACATTCTGTTCCTGCAGAGGGAGCCTGAACGAATGGTGAGCCCATGCCTGCAGAAGCGGATGCAAGGGAAAGAGGAGGGAGAAGAGGAAGGGGAGGAGGTGGGGGAAGGGGTGGAAGGGGTGAGACGGGCGAAAGGGGTGAAACGGGAGGAAGGGGTGAAACGGGAGGAAGGGGAGGAAGTGAAGGAAGTGGAGGAAGGGGAGGAAGGGTTGGAAGGGGAGGAAGGGGAGGAAGAGTTGGAAGGGGAGGAAGGGGAGGAAGGGGAGGCAGAGGAAGAGGGGTTACCGCTACATGCGACACAGATGGCTTCACTGGACAAGTTGGGGATGTAGGAGGTGGTTCGGAGGAGCAAGGTGCTGTTCCTGCTCAGGGAGGGATGGGGGCTGGTTCTGCTCAGGGAGAGATGGGGGCTGGTTCTGCTCAGGGAGGGATGGGGGCTGGTTCTGCTCAGAAAGGGATGGGGGCTGGTTCTGCTCAGGGAGGGATGGGGGCTGGTTCTGCTCAGGGAGGGATGGGGGTTGGTTCTGCTCAAGAAGGGATGGGGGTTGGTCCTGCTCAGGGAGGGATGGGGGCTGGTTCTGCTCAGGGAGGGATGGGGGCTGGTTCTGCTCAGGGAGGGATGGGGGCTGGTCCGCATAGGCCAGAGGCGCCGCGAGTGTTGCAAAGCGGAGGGAGGCATGTCAGGGGAGGAGGGGGAGAAAGGGTAGGGATGAATGCACCAAGGCAAAGTGCTGGTAGTACACCAGCAATTGCAGGAGTACAGCCGCGGAGTGTGGAGAGAGTGATTGGGGAACGACGGAGGTGGTTGTCACGGATGCGACAGCAATGCCAGGTGGCGCAGCAGGCAGAGGTGGATGGTGCAGTAGAGGAGCAACGAACCTGGCGGCAGGATGTGTCATCTGGGAAAGCGCAGCCAGAGCAGCGCAGATGGTGGGGTGCACCAAGAGGAGTTTTTGCAGCGGAAAGAGCAGCAGAGGGTAAGTCGACAGCATCGCCTTTATAAGAGGAAGCAGCAGAGCTTGAAACGGACTCATGAGCAGATGGAAAGGCGCCCACAAGTAGAAGAGACTCAACAACGACGTCGTGCTGGACAAGCTTAACCCCATTCGGAGAATGGGAATGGGGGCCAGCAGGTAAGAATGAGGCGGGTGCTCCACCTTTCCCTCTCTGATACACTCATTACCTCTCCTGGTTCCCCTCGTTTCCCCCCCCCTGCTTCCATTCATTTCCCCCACCGCTTCACAAATTTTTCCTCCTTCGCGTTGGGTCATTACAGCTTGCGCTTGCACCATAACCTTTCTCATATGCCCCGTTCGCCCTCCCTTGCATTTTCTCCCTCTCCCTTGCTACTTAGGTGAATACCCTGAAGATTTCTCTTGCTTCGACGCGCCTAATTCCATCATCTATTGACATGCTTCCTGAGTAGCTCTCCTTGTCCACCGTTTTATGCAGAGTAAGTGCAGCAAGCAATCATTAGTGTACCTTTATATATGGCCATTGCAGCTGTCAGTCTTTGACAAATTCATCTAACAGTCGAGGATTGTGTAGGAAACTTGTCAGTAAACCTCAGCAACCGAATATTTTTATGGAATAACGTATGCTTCTCAAACAATAGAGAGAATATAGGGTATTTTTCTAGAACAAAATATAGTAGTATACACACGTCAATTCACCGCTACAGCACAAACTAGTAGTCGCATGACACAAATTTAGTGGTGTGAGTAGCGGTGTACAGTTGTTTGAATTTATAGCACAACCGTTTGTTCAGCAGTACCCTACATTCTACAAAATACCAAGAAACTTTCTCCATAACAAGGCTATGTTTGGCCTGCATCTTCAGTTTACTATCATGCGATTGTATAGCCAATAATGGCGTATTCCAGATGAGTGATTCCGGTACTACGGTATACGATAATACGACATCTTAAAACATACGGTACGTTACCCTTCTCTTTGTCTCTCCGTCGTTTCCAGCATAAGCTCCGATGAGAAAATGAGACATTATTCCGAATGTGTGTGGTGGTGAGAGTAATGACACACATCAGTATTTGCAACTTGCATATTGGTGGCAGAGGTAGACTTCTTTTGGATCTATAACACTAACATTTGTTCAGTAACCTCTATTCTTGAAAGAAACGATTCCAGGAAACCGCTTCTCTAACATGGCAATGCGTGGCCTGCATCTTCAGGCTACAAAAATGACTAATAATTCCGTATTCGGGATATTTTAAAGCTATATATTCCCCCCTTATCATACTGTACCCTTCGCGTTGTCTCACCATCTTACCGTTCAATTACCGAGATACGGTACCAGTCCATATGTTTGTGGCCAAAAACTGAATGTTGATCCCAAAACAAGTATTGTGTCCTTTTTAGGCTGCATTCAGCAGTAGCATTGCATGTTGTTGGAATAACATATACGGTAGGGATATATGTTAAGTCCGGGAGCCAGGGATATATCTTAATTATACGGTACAATCTCAATGTACTACATATGCCATACGCGTGCAGACAATGATGTTATTTTTGCAGTGATGGGGTATATCATGGCCTGTAGGTAAACAAATCTACGGTAGTGATAGGCGGAGAGGGGACGTGATAAGAGAGCTTGAGGTTAGTTTGGGAAGCGGCGTTGCTGGTAGGAGGGATCGATGGTTGACATGGCAGGCCCCGAGAGTGCACGCAGGTGCGCGTGCGTGCGTGTGTGTCATGCTGGAGGCCTGAAGTAGGTCTTGCATGCACACACATCCATGGTGGAGAGGAAGCAAGCGAGCAGCACGGAGCGTGTGGTGCATTCCATCCCAAGGACCTCCATCGCGGTGCACACATACAGATCCCGCAGGGTCCGCAGCAGCAGCATGGAGATGAGCGACCACGGCACAGCAATGCACGCCCGAAGCCACCGCCGCCACGTACAGGCAGAAGGGCTGCAGGCAAGTCCAGGACGGGAAGGATAGCAAGGGTATAGCGGGAGTGGGATGATGGTGGATGGAGATGGGAGAGTGGGTGACTGGGAGTATGGTCGGCCCAAATATGTGCATTCACATGGTATCCCACTGCCATGAAACACAAAACTCGCCTTAAAACCTCATCAAAATCTCCTCCCTCCATCACACCCCCCCAACCCAAGGTCCTCACTGAAGCTGTTCGGCACGCGGCCAGTGCTGAACAGTGGGGTTGCGGTGGAAGAAGGCGAGCGGCGAGGCGAAGACGGATCCCAAAATATTCGTCACAGTGGGGGTGAACGGAGCAATGGAGGGAATGCGAGTGGAGAGCACGAGGTAGAAGACAAGGTCGAGGGGGCGGTGGGAGGAGAAGAACTGGTGGCACGAGGGCATAGAAACCAGGACTGTGCTGTTTGATAGAGCTTCCACTGATCCCAACACCACTGCACGCGCACTGCTACTGCTGGCACTGATGCTGCTGCTGGCGCCGCCTGGTATGTTCCCCACACCACTGCCACTTACGCTGCTGCTTCCACCTATAGGAAGGCGTGGCATCCCATTGCCGACCGCACTCAGCCTGATGCTGCCCGCGCTGATCCCACTTGTGATACCCACATCTCATATCCCCACAGCACTTGGTCCACTGCTGCTGCCACTGCCTCTGCTGCCGTCACTGCTCCCCACGTCAACAACCACAGGCGAGCAGCCTCTGCTGTCGGCTGAAACCGCCAACACCCCCACCACTGCCACTGCTATTGCCGCTGGCAGAAATACTGGCAGCAGCGCCATGCAGCCAGGATGCGAGCTGGTCTCCATATGTGATGCTGAGAGTTGTGAGGCTGACTGGCTGCATGGAGGCTGCGAGCAGCGCCACTGTGAAATTGCGCAGGTCTGGAGAGGAGGAGAAGAGGGGTGGAGAGGGAAGGGGCACAAGAGGAAGGGGCGAGAGAGGGGGGGTCAAGCGGAGGGGGGCGGGGCGGGGGGCGTGGCAGAGGAAAGAGGGTGGGAAAAAGGAAAGGTTGAATGGCAGGAGGCAAGCTGGCCTCCATAGGTGGCGGTGAGGCTGACCGGGGTGATGGTAGTGGCGACGAGGGGCACTGTGAAGTTGCGCAGGTATGGGGGAGGAACGGGTGGAGGGTGAGGGGAACAGGGGGAGCGAGGCGCGGGGAGGGGTCCTAGAGGAGGGTGGCGAGGGGAGGGGGATGTGGCAGGGGAATGGGAGGGTAGGGGTAAGGGGGAATGGCAGGGGAATGAGGGTAGGGGTAAGGGGGAATGGCAGGGGAATGGGGGTAGGGGTAAGGGGGAATGGCAGAGAAATGAGGGTTGGGGTAAGGGGGAATGGCAGGGGAATGTGGGTAGGGGTAAAGGGGAATGGCAGGGGAATGAGGGTAGGGGTAAGGGGGAATGGCAGGGGAATGAGGGTAGGGGTCAGGGGGAATGGCAGGGGAATGGGGGTAGGGGTAAGGGGGAATGGCAGGGGAATGAGGGTAGGGGTAAGGGGGAATGGTAGGGGAATGAGGGTAGGGGTCAGGGGGAATGGCAGGGGAATGAGGGTAGGGGTAAGGGGGAATGGGAGGGGAATGAGGGTAGGGGTCAGGGGGAATGGCAGGGGAATGGGGGTTGGGGTAAGGGGGAATGGCAGGGGAATTAGGGTAGGGGTAAGGGGGAATGGCAGGGGAATGTGGGTAGGGGTAAGGGGGAATGGATGGGGAATGAGGGTAGGGTTAAGGGGGAATGGCAGGGGAATGAGGGTAGGGGTAAGGGGGAATGGCAGGGGAATGGGGGTAGGGGTAAGGGGGAATGGCAGGGGAATGAGGGTTGGGGTAAGGGGGAATGGCAGGGGAATGTGGGTAGGGGTAAGGGGGAATGGCAGGGGAATGGGAGGGGAGGGAGGTTAACCAAGAAAGATGATAGTTGCCAGCGGATGGTGACAGTTGAGAGATGTGTCGTGAGAGAGGTGCAAGGCTTACCATATCGGATGCGAATGACGGTGTTGTTGCCCTGCTGCACGAACGGGGGAGAGGCACAAGGGAGGGATGTGGGGAGTGCAGGGAGGGGGGAGAGGCACGAGGGAGGGATGTGGGGAGTGCACGGAGGGGGGAGAGGCACGAGGGAGGGATGTGGGGAGTGCAGGGAGGGGGGAGAGGCACGAGGGAGGGATGTGGGGAGTGCACGGAGGGGGGAGAGGCACGAGGGAGGGATGTGGGGAGTGCAGGGAGGGGGGAGAGGCACGAGGGAGGGATGTGGGGAGTGCAGGGAGGGGGGGTATGGGGGCTCGCGGGATAGGGTGGGGAGGGATGGAGGGGTGGGAGAAAATGAAACCGCCATAAGGGTTTTCTTGAGAATTCTCTAAAAAGCCAAAAGGAGGGACAGGCCCAGGGAGGGGCAGAGGGGAGCTACACGAGCCACACTGTAACGTGAGGCACACCAATGTGACTTTACCAAGCAGTGGTGGGTATGAGTGCGTGAGACTATACCGAGCAGTGGTGGGTGTGATTGCGCGTGACTATACCGAGTGGTGGGTGTGAGTGTGTGTGACTATACCCAGCAGAAGTGGGTGGGTGTGAGTGTGTGTGACTATACCCAGCAGTAGTGGGTGGGTGTGAGTGTGTGACTATACCCAGCAGTAGTGGGTGGGTGTGGATGTGAGAGTGTGGCTATACTATACCGAGCAGTAGCGTGGGTTGCAGCGGAAGGCGGGGCAGGGGCGGTTGAAGAGGATGGTGTCGTGAGAGCCGTTGCTCTGCTGGGTGATCCTCGTGTAGGTCATAGTGGGAATCATGGGTGCCACAGCCACTGCACACATGTGGGGGAGGAAGGGGGGGAGCGGGGGGAGAAGGGTTGAGGTCATGCTGGGCATGACAGGCACCGCTGCCAGTGGGTGTTGTGAGAGCCGTTGCTCTGCTGGGTGATCCTCGTGTAGGTCATGCTGAGTCTCGTGGGCGCTGCTGCCACTGCACGCATGGGGGGAAAAGGCGCCGAGCGCATTGGCGCGAGGCGCGGTGTAACGCATCCCCTACTCCTACCTATCGAGCTACCTCACTCCTAAGGTAACCATTCGAGATTGAACTCGATGAAGGTTGAGTTGCGGGAGATTGTAGTTGGGGTTGGGAAGGAGGGGTTGGGAAGGAAGGGTTGGTTGGGTTTATCCAAACCTCAACATTGAGGCTTGGAACATTCCAACCCATCAAAGTGAAATCACTAAGGTTGGAATTCCAACCAATCAGAAACTGCCAAACAATTGTTACAATCTACTCTATCCTAAACACAACCATTGAATGGTTCTAAGTTGGGTTTTCCAACCCAACACAATTGCCACATAGGCTCCAAGCCTAGGAACCATCCCACCATGGAAACCATGGTTGGGATAGTTCCCCAAGGGGTGTATTGAGGGGGTCTGAGCTAAGCAAGCTCATTCTCAACCTCCAACTCCAACTAAACAATTGGAAATGGGATTGTTTCTCTAAGTCATTTTGGGCTCTCTCACAAGCCTTCCTACACAATTCTCTCAAGCTATTTTAACAACTCCTTCAAGAAGATTGGCACTTCAAAGGCTATTGGGAGCTAGCTAGAGCTTCATCTTGTATTGGGATTTATTATAAAAGCCTTGTAACTCCATTATAATAGCCTTGGGTGTTACATGCAGGGCATTGCGCCAGGCGCATTGGCGCCGAGCGCATTGGCGCCAGGCGCATTGGCGCCGAGCGCATTGGCGCCAGGCGCATCGGCGCCAGGCGCCAGTCGCATCGGCGCCAAGGGCATTTTCGCCAGGCGCATTGGCGCCAGGGACGGCCGTTAGCGCCACGGACCCTGGAAGCATGTGCGCTGGACCTGCGGCGCAAATGGCTGCAAATGAATGCATGCATGCAACTCACAAGTTTTGCGGAGTCTAAAGTATGAAAACGTTGAGCATGTGGAGGATTGCGGTCCCAATGTCGATCTTCGTCTGCATCGTTGCCGTGCTTAGATTCCTATACGTCGCAACATTGGAAACAACTACAAATAGGTGCTACTAATCGGCTTTGGTAGATGTCGCAAATGGAAACCCTAACTTAGGATCTCACTGAGTTCGCCAAGGGATTGACAGTCGTGAGTGAGTGGGAAGGGTGAGGCAGGTGGGGTTGATGGCCTGGGATGGACTGGGGCACGTTTACATTCGCATTCAGATTGGGGAGAGGCTCCACAACAGTTCCAGCACAGTATGATTGCCAGCAAGGCGAATCTACAGCAGTGCTAGCCCTCAATCTCGAGCCCACCAGAAGAGGCAGTGTGTGGCCAGAAAAGGCCAGAAACGGTTTGTTCAGAGTGGAAGTGCGTCAGATAGTATAGCAAGAGGACACGTGGCGCAAAATTCGCCCCGCAGGATCAGTTTAGAACATACTTTGGGCCTCGCGTGAGCGAAATTCCAGAAAGTAGTACTTTTTGAGTAAACCTGGGGTTAAATATGCGAAAAAACTGAAACGAAGGATCTGGGATATAGTTTCCCAATTCACTATGACCATGGTTGTTGTTGTGGTCGATTTACAGTTTTGGGGTTCTGGTTTGTTTCTCGATATTGTTCGCGACCCTATTGCTAGTCACCAGGTTTCGGTGCGAAACCAGCACATCACGAAAGGTGCCCAAACATGTTGCGACTCTGTGCTGTTCACGGCAGGGGCGTTTTCGTGCCCAATTTGGTCGCACGTATGGTTTTTCACCTGGGGCGATTTCCCTACTCGATCGTATATGCGGTCGTTTTCTAAGAAAATCTCGCATGCATCACCATCGCTTGACCCAACCAAATGGTCGGATTTTGGCCGCGGTCGCTACAATGTTCACGCCCAAGTTCAGTGGGCAAAGATGGGGCAACCCAGTTTTGGGCATGGGATGTGGCGTCGCACTTTGTATAGCAGTCGCAGAAAGGTCGCGTGTCATGGTATAGAGCAACTGTGCAAGGGTTACTGCCAAAGTCGCAAGAGGGTAGTACTACTATTACTAGTACTATATGAGGTGAAGGCCGTTCTCTCCGTTTCCCCCGCTCCTGCTCTCCCATGTCCCGCTCAAGCGGTTGTCAGCGGCAATGGCCGACGAATGCGATCTGCGTGTTGGTCGTGCTACTCGTGTGCGCCGCGGCGCTAGTATTCGAGCTGAATCGCCCGCCAACCTCCATCGTGCAGATACCCTTCGAGCCTGCTGCCTCCACACGTCTCGAACAGTTTTCGGAACAACGAGCCATGACTCCAGAGTCTGGAGTCGGCATCGGGCAGGTGTGCCGCGCTGCATTCAGTATTACTAGTACTAGTAGTGCGGCCACCTAGGTGACTTGTTGCGTCTGGCATTGCCATGTGCGCCGCCAGCGGCTGATCTGCCCGAAGGGCCTTCGCCGAGCGGCGCGCGTAGTCTGCTTCTTCGCGGCCCTCGTCCTCTCTTGCCGCAAGTCGATTTCGCGCTAACGCACCCTTCGCCTTCCTACGGGTTCTCTTGCCATCATGAAATCAGTTTCTTTTTTTCGTTTTCTAACCAGATGTTAGGATTCGCGTGCTATGTTGGCAGGAAGGCGGCTGGGAGTCGGACAATCCCGAGAAGGCCAACTTGGATTCTATGCGGCTTAGGTCATGCTCTGTAACATCCTCGGTCAACCCATCTCGTCCGCTTTCCCCTGCGTCCGCCTTTCTAACATGCGTCGCGCACAAATGCTCATCCCACTGCCCATCCCTACACCCATCCTGCTCCTGCACACATCACTAAAATCGCGGAAAACCTCTCATGAAGTGTGTTTGTTGTGTTTTTGCAGATGATTTGAAGATGTAGGGGTCGGTACTTTTCTAGAAGAAAGTATCAAACTTTTTCCAGATGGTATGTCAGATGCTTTGCAGATGATCGGAGTGTTTTTAAACAGTTTGGAAATGGTTGTGAGGAACTTCTCATTGTGTTTGGGATAACTTGTTTAAATCATGTTATGTGCTTCAATTTTAGACTTGTATAAGGTTTGCTATTTACTTTTATATGCATGTAATAATCTTGAAAAGGGTTTATGGGGTATTATAAATAAACGTAATCGGAGTTTGAAAAACCCAGTTGGTAGTTTCTTTAGCACTTACCATAAATACACCGTAAGAGGGAAGGCATGTACGTGTAAATCATAATATTAGCTTGAAAAGGTTTACGACACATTAGATGCCTACTTATTCTCTGGTTCTTAGCTACTCTACTATTCATCCTCGGTTAATGACACCTGCGCTACTACTACCCACTATCAACCCTAGGTCCGTACTCTGCTTCATCCTCCCTGCTGTGCTACTCCCTGCTACATCCTCCCTGCTGTGCTACTCCCCGCTGCATCCTCCCTGCTGTGCTACTCCCCACTACATCCTCCCTGCTGTGCTACTCCCCGCTACATCCTCCCTGCTGTGCTACTCCCCGCTGCATCCTCCCTGCTGTGCTATTATTTCTTAACCCCGCCCCCTTGATGTCAATCCTTGCTTCCCCCTCATGTTGTTACTACTGTGCTCCCCTCCCTGCTGTTACTCCTGCGCACCTCTCCTTGCTGATACTCCTCTCCTCCCTTCCCAGCCGTGGTTCCTCTCCTCCCTTCCCTGCTGTGGTTCCCCTGCTCCCCTCCCTGCTGTGACTCCTCTCCTCCCTTCCCTGCTGTGGTTCCCCTGCTCCCCTCCCTGCTGTGGTTCCTCTCCTCCCTTCCCTGCTGTGGTTACCCTGCTCCCCTCCCTGCTGTGGTTCCTCTCCTCCCTTCCCTGCTGTGGTTCCTCTGCTCCCCTCCCTGCTGTGGTTCCTCTCCTCCCTTCCCTGCTGTGGTTCCCATGCTCCCCTCCCTGCTATGGTTCCTCTCCTCCCTTCCCTGCTGTGGTTCCCCTGCTCCTCTCCCTGCTGTGGTTCCTCTCCTCCCCTCCCTGCTGTGGTTCCCCTGCTCCCCTCCCTGCTGTGACTCCTCTCCTCCCTTCCCTGCTGTGGTTACCCTGCTCCCTTCCCTGCTGTGGTTCATCTCCTCCCTTCCCTGCTGTGGTTCCCATGCTCCTCTCCCTGCTGTGGTTACTCTCCTCCCTTCCCTGCTGTGGTTACCCTGCTCCCCTCCCTGCTGTGACTCCTCTCCTCCCCTCCCTGCTGTGGTTCCTCTCCTCCCTTCCCTGCAGTGGTTACCCTGCTCCCCTCCCTGCTGTGGTTCCTCTCCTCCCTTCCCGGCTGCGGTTCCTCTGCTCCCCTCCCTGCTGTGGTTCCTCTCCTCCCTTCCCAGCTGTGGTTCCCATGCTCCCCTCCCTGCTATGGTTCCTCTCCTCCCTTCCCTGCTGTGGTTCCCCTGCTCCTCTCGCTGCTGTGGTTCCTCTCCTCCCTTCCCTGCTGTGGTTCCCCTGCTCCTCTCCCTGCTGTGGTTCCTCTCCTCCCTTCCCTGCTGTGGTTCACCTGCTCCCTTCCCTGCTGTGGTTCCTCTCCTCCCTTCCCTGCTGTGGTTACCCTGCTCCCTTCCCTGCTGTGGTTCCTCTCCTCCCTTCCCTGCTGTGGTTCCTCTGCTCCCCTCCCTGCTGTGTTTCCTCTCTTCCCTTCCCTGCTGTGGTTCCCATGCTCCCTTCCCTGCTATGGTTCCTCTCCTCCCTTCCCTGCTGTGGTTACCCTGCTCCCCTCCCTGCTGTGACTCCTCTCCTCCCCTCCCTGCTGTGGTTCCTCTCCTCCCTTCCCTGCTGTGGTTACCCTGCTCCCCTCCCTGCTGTGGTTCCTCTCCTCCCTTCCCTGCTGCGGTTCCTCTGCTCCCCTCCCTGCTGTGGTTCCTCTCCTCCCTTCCCAGCTGTGGTTCCCATGCTCCCCTCCCTGCTATGGTTCCTCTCTTCCGTTCCCTGCTGTGGTTCCCCTGCTCCTCTCGCTGCTGTGGTTCCTCTCCTCCCTTCCCTGCTGTGGTTCCCCTGCTCCTCTCCCTGCTGTGGTTCCTCTCCTCCCTTCCCTGCTGTGGCTCACCTGCTCCCTTCCCTGCTGTGGTTCCTCTCCTCCCTTCCCTGCTGTGGTTACCCTGCTCCCTTCCCTGCTGTGGTTCCTCTCCTCCCTTCCCTGCTGTGGTTCCTCTGCTCCCCTCCCTGCTGTGTTTCCTCTCTTCCCTTCCCTGCTGTGGTTCCCATGCTCCCTTCCCTGCTATGGTTCCTCTCCTCCCTTCCCTGCTGTGGTTACCCTGCTCCCCTCCCTGCTGCGACTCCTCTCCTCCCCTCCCTGCTGTGGTTCCTCTCCTCCCTTCCCTGCTGTGGTTACCCTGCTCCCCTCCCTGCTGTGGTTCCTCTCCTCCCTTCCCTGCTGCGGTTCCTCTGCTCCCCTCCCTGCTGTGGTTCCTCTCCTCCCTTCCCAGCTGTGGTTCCCATGCTCCCCTCCCTGCTATGGTTCCTCTCCTCCCTTCCCTGCTGTGGCTCCCCTGCTCCTCTCGCTGCTGTGGTTCCTCTCCTCCCTTCCCTGCTGTGGTTCCCCTGCTCCTCTCCCTGCTGTGGTTCCTCTCCTCCCTTCCCTGCTGTGGTTCACCTGCTCCCTTCCCTGCTGTGGTTCCTCTCCTCCCTTCCCTGCTGTGGTTACCCTGCTCCCTTCCCTGCTGTGGTTCCTCTCCTCCCTTCCCTGCTGTGGTTCCTCTGCTCCCCTCCCTGCTGTGTTTCCTCTCTTCCCTTCCCTGCTGTGGTTCCCATGCTCCCTTCCCTGCTATGGTTCCTCTCCTCCCTTCCCTGCTGTGGTTACCCTGCTCCCCTCCCTGCTGTGACTCCTCTCCTCCCCTCCCTGCTGTGGTTCCTCTCCTCCCTTCCCTGCTGTGGTTACCCTGCTCCCCTCCCTGCTGTGGTTCCTCTCCTCCCTTCCCTGCTGCGGTTCCTCTGCTCCCCTCCCTGCTGTGGTTCCTCTCCTCCCTTCCCAGCTGTGGTTCCCATGCTCCCCTCCCTGCTATGGTTCCTCTCCTCCCTTCCCTGCTGTGGTTCCCCTGCTCCTCTCGCTGCTGTGGTTCCTCTCCTCCCTTCCCTGCTGTGGTTCCCCTGCTCCTCTCCCTGCTGTGGTTCCTCTCCTCCCTTCCCTGCTGTGGTTCACCTGCTCCCTTCCCTGCTGTGGTTCCTCTCCTCCCTTCCCTGCTGTGGTTACCCTGCTCCCTTCCCTGCTGTGGTTCCTCTCCTCCCTTCCCTGCTGTGGTTCCTCTGCTCCCCTCCCTGCTGTGTTTCCTCTCTTCCCTTCCCTGCTGTGGTTCCCATGCTCCCTTCCCTGCTATGGTTCCTCTCCTCCCTTCCCTGCTGTGGTTACCCTGCTCCCCTCCCTGCTGCGACTCCTCTCCTCCCCTCCCTGCTGTGGTTCCTCTCCTCCCTTCCCTGCTGTGGTTACCCTGCTCCCCTCCCTGCTGTGGTTCCTCTCCTCCCTTCCCTGCTGCGGTTCCTCTGCTCCCCTCCCTGCTGTGGTTCCTCTCCTCCCTTCCCAGCTGTGGTTCCCATGCTCCCCTCCCTGCTATGGTTCCTCTCCTCCCTTCCCTGCTGTGGTTCCCCTGCTCCTCTCGCTGCTGTGGTTCCTCTCCTCCCTTCCCTGTTGTGGTTCCCCTGCTCCTCTCCCTGCTGTGGTTTCTCTCCTCCCTTCCCTGCTGTGGTTCACCTGCTCCCTTCCCTGCTGTGGTTCCTCTCCTCCCTTCCCTGCCGTGGTTCCCCTGCTCCTCTCCCTGCTGTGGTTCCTCTCCTCCCCTCCCTGCTGTGGTTCCCCTGCTCCCCTCCCTGCTGTGACTCCTCTCCTCCCTTCCCTGCTGTTGTTCCCCTGCTCCTCTCCCTGCTGTGGTTCCTCTCCTCCCCTCCCTGCTGTGGTTCCCCTGTCCCCACATCTGCTCTTACTCCAAGCTCGGAGCACTGCAATTCCACCATTCATCTCCTCTAGACATGCACTGACGCCACCCTCCTTGTCGGATTGCGGGGTTGTGATCTTGGCCTATACTCCTCGAACCCCGACTCATGGACGAACAAGCCAAAATTCCCCCACTTAAACCCCTTCATCCGTGGGTCATAGACAGGGCTCACCTGGCTGAAATGATCCGTCACCGCCCGCTTCACCGCCCTGCGGATGCTTGCCACCCACCGCGTGTCTTTCGGTGGGAGTTTGTGAGGTTCATTGTCGACTTCTTGACCTTCGACAAGCCGTAGTCAATCTGCATTGTCAAAATAGGGGAGCATGGACAGATTCAAGCGTGATAAGTGTGAGAGGTCGGAATCATGTGGGGCAAGCACAACATCCAGTGAAGTACGCCATGGTGGTAGAGTGTGAGCATGAAAGGTGATAGAGGAGTGGGGCAGCTTCTGAAAGGAGAGGAAACCAAAGAGTGTTCGGAAACACGGGAGGGAAAGGATACTGATGGGTACTGCATGGACGTGAGGGGATTGGTGAAAAATATTAACAACATAAGCCCGTGAGTGAAATCGTGAATCCAGAGTGGGCGCAACTCCCCTGGGCAGGTGGATACCAAGGTTTCAAGAAGCACCTGAGAGGGAGGTGGAAACACGGGGGTTTAAGGTTTACACGGGATGGCACGGGTTTACTAAGGAGAAAAGTGTGGGATGAGAAACAAGTAAAAGGACCCTCACAAGCCACTCACCACCAAGATAGTCCAGGCAATATGATACGCCTTCAAGCATATGTCGTTCCCCACGGCAAATTCACCGAAGGCGTCCATTGCTGCGTTGAAGAAGATCTCGTTGCCGGACGGGAGATCAGTAACCTCAGCATTTCCCCATGTGCTCAGTTGGGCGTCGGCACCTGCAACACAGTCGAACGAAGGTGGTTCAATGGGTGGGGTATGAAAAGGGAAGAGGGTGGATGGGCTGGCGAATCACATGTTTCTACAACGGTCCATGTAAAGGAAACGCCAAGCTATGGAGTACAGATATGGGGTGTTGCAAGAAACGGGTGCTAGGGCTGAGATGGTGAAAAAAGGGGGAGGGGGGTAGGGTGGGGGAAAAGGTCAGGCAGGTGTTTACTCACTCGGGCCATACTCCCCCCAGAGATCCTCCTTGAGCTCAGTGTCGATGTGGATTTCCGCTGCCCGCAAGCCACTCATAGGAACCCCCAACCCCTCGAGCACAGTCCGTTTGACGTAAAACCCGCGCTCGTTCTTCCACTGCGTATACACGCGCTTGAATGCATCCCTCCGTGTTTTATCCGCCATGGCCTCCTTCAGCAATATCAATGGAACCACATAATGCTCGGAAATGATTTCATGCAAAACAAGAATCCGCTTCTCAAAGCTTGGGTAGAACGTGACAAGATGGTCCTCAGCTTCCATACACATGCGCTTCCTTGCTTCTTCCATGTACAGCTGTTTAAAATGAGAATGTAGGGTAAACCAAAGAATGGGAATGTGGGGTATTGGGAATGAGTATATGTCACTGCAGAGAATGAGACCAGAGGGTGGGATGAGAATGAATCACTGCAGAGAAGGAAACCAGAGACTGGGAATGTGAATGAGTCACTGCAGGTAATGAGACCAGAGGGTGGGATGAGAATGAATCACTGCAGCGAAGGAAACCAGAGAGTGGGAATGTGAATGAGGCACTGCAGAGAATGAGACCAGAGGGTGGGATGAGAATGAATCACTGCAGAGAAGGAAACCAGAGAGTGGGAATGTGAATGAGTCACTGCAGGTAATGAGACCAGAGGGTGGGATGAGAATGAATCACTGCAGCGAAGGAAACCAGAGAGTGGGAATGTGAATGAGTCACTGCAGAGAATGAGACCAGAGGGTGGGATGAGAATGAATCACTGCAGAGAAGGAAACCAGAGAGTGGGAATGTGAATGAGTCACTGCAGAGAAGGAAACCAGAGAGTGGGAATGTGAATGAGTCACTGCAGAGAATGAGACCAGAGGGTGGGATGAGAATGAATCACTGCAGAGAAGGAAACCAGAGAGTGTGAATGTGAATGAGTCACTGCAGAGAATGAGACCAGAGGGTGGGGATGAGAATGAATCACTGCAGAGAAGGAAACCAAAGAGTGGGAATGTGAATGAGTCACTGCAGAGAATGAGACCAGAGGGTGGGATGAGAATGAATCACTGCAGAGAAGGAAACCAGAGAGTGGGAATGCGAATGAGTCACTGCAGAGAATGAGACCAGAGGGTGGGATGAGAATGAATCACTGCAGAGAAGGAAACCAAAGAGCGGGAATGTGAATGAGTCACTGCAGATAATGGGACCAGAGGGTGGGAATGAGAATGAATCAGTGCTAAGAAGGAAACCAGAGAGTGGGAATGTGAATGAGTCACTGCAGAGAATGAGCCTTGAGGGTGGGAATGAGAATGAATCACTGCAGAGAAGGAAACCAGAGAGTGGGAGTCACTGCAGAGAATGAGACCAGAGGGTGGGATGAGAATGAATCATTGCAGAGAAGGAAACCAGAGAGTGGGAATGTGAATGAGTCACTGCAGAGAATGAGACCAGAGGGTGGGATGAGAATGAATCACTGCAGAGAAGGAAACCAGAGAGTGGGAATGTGAATCAGTCACTGCAGAGAATGAGACCAGAGGGTGGGATGAGAATGAATCACTGCAGAGAAGGAAACCAAAGAGCGGGAATGTGAATGAGTCACTGCAGAGAATGAGACCAGCGAGTGGGAAAAACTAGACAACTGGAGAAAGAGAATGAAAATGCACCATTGGTCAAACAAAACCGTATAATGAGCAAGCCAGCGAGTCAGGTGTGGCAATCGGTAGGAGAAATTGGTGGCACTTACCTTCAAATTAGTCGCGTTTGGCATCCCATGCCTCCTGGTGATGGGAGTGCCTTGTACAGCGCTCTCCGCCACAGCGCCCGGCGTTTCAGGCGGCTCAGGTTGTTCACTGGATATCGAGGTAAGTGGCGGGATTTGCGTCCCATTTCCCCCCCGGTCCACCGAAGGTCCACGACCGGCCTTTAGCTCGGCAATCTGCCGATTAGCTTCCTGCAATGCCTGGAAGAGTTGCTGCATGGATTCATTAGGAGAATTGCTCGAGGGAATGATGGGCACTCCGCTAGCGTCGAGCGGGGAATTGCCTCTTGCCGATGCGAACGGGGGTGGAGTTGCTGGGTCAGAGCGTCCAACTTTCCTGCCATCATTGAACCAATCTCCAACACCACCCGCCTCACCATCTTCCGCCCCCAGCCCCCCACCACAGGCCGGATCTTCACTACCACCGGCTGGATTGTGCGTGTTGTCATGCTGCTGGCCAGCGTTGTCACGCACACTCCAATCTTGAAATCTAGATGCTCTCTTTCCCAATCATGAGGTGGAAGCAAGGGCAGCATACGGATCGTTGGTTGCTGCCCGTTTCATCCGAACGTTCTCCCGACAATTCGATGGACCAGCATCATCCGAGTTCACCATGGTCCTCATCTCATTGTAGAAGCCAAGGTCCTGTCTCACAACAGGATGCTCCTTACGACGCCGCCGGGCGTAACCCTCAGTATCTGCTCGCTTTCCTTGAGCACACTCTCTACGTCTCTGCCGTTTACGTCCACTACCAGCCTTACCACCGGTTGCATGACCACGCTTTCCGCTATAGCGGTGGTTGTGTGCTCCTCGCGCCCTCCCCCCTCTCCTACCGTCGTCATCACTCCCGGACCCAGTTTCAGCGTCATCACTCTCGTCCTCTTCCTCATCATACTTCTCCTCGCTCCCGGATAAACTCCCTGATTCCTCCTCAGAACTATCTTCTCCATCAGAAGATTCGACCTCAGCAGCGGCCTTCTTTCCAGCCTTTCTGGACCGTGCCTTCACCCTCCCTGACACCCCCCTCTGATCTTCTAGCTCAGCGCCACGGCTCTCCCTCCCACCCTCCTCATGCCCTCGAACATTGTGTGCATCGGCCGCACGAACACCTGCTGGAGTAGAGGGAGAAGACGCATCATGCTTCATATCACGCTCTCCCTCACGCTTCACCCCACGCTCCCCCACACGCTTCACATCACGGTCTCCCTCACGCTTCATATCACGCTCTCCCTCACGCTCTCCCTCTCGCTCTCCCTCACGCTTCACATCACGCTCTCCCTCACGCTCTCCCTCACGCTCTCCCTCACGCTCAGCCTCACGCTCTCCCTCCCGCCTGCCCTCACGCCTTCCTTCACGCCTGCCCTCAAGCCCTCCCTCACGCCTGCCCTCACACTCTCCATCATGCTCATCCCCACGCTTATGCCCTTTCTCTGGCAGTTGCTCCTTGTCATCTACATCTTGCACGATCCCTGTTGCACCAGCCGCGTCTTGTCTTTCTTTCTTATTTTTCTTGGCTCCAGCGAGGGTACCTACAGCACGCATGAAGTAAGGACGATACGCTCAATTAATAGGAGGGCAACACCTCTCTAGATTGGGTGCGAACACATCCAAATTATTAACGAGCAACTTTAGGACATACAAACTTGAAGAAGCTGGATAAAAGCTCATTGCGTACCTTTCCTCCTCGTAGCATGTTTGCACTGGTCCAACGACTTCAGCTTTCGACCGTTCCTCCGCCCGCGTGAACTGCCGCGTCTAACCTTGCCATCGTAGGCCTCTTCTTCAGATTGCTCACTATCCGATGAAGATGCCTCTTCCGATTCCACCTTGGCATCGCGTGTAGGAAGTGTGTTCTTCTGACGATACCGCACAACTAGCTGGGAGGTATCGTGAGGCGTCATCTTGTCGTGTAGCTGCTGTTCCACGTCGGTTTTCGCGTCGCCCGAGGGATGTAAAGCTCCAGCGCTACCGAGGAGCGCACTAGCATTGGCTTGTTGAGAAACGATGATGTCCGCCATCTCTCTATCAATTCTGCTAAACAAGCCCAATTAACGGTTACAAAATTTTGCTGTGCATCCCTAAGTATCAAGTTTTCCATAAATACATGTTAGAGACGCAAGGAACAGCGGCGCGCGAGCTGG